GCATAGAGAAAAACAGCTTCATCAATTTGACAACATATGTGTAGCGTTTTAATAAATGCTGTGAGAATGTGAGAAAACAACCAAATACAAAAAATATGTTCTATAAACAAAATACAGAAAACACAACCAAATATAGAAATGCTGTAGGTTGTACAGAAGTCAACAGAAATTAGTTACATAACAACAGTTTCCAGGAAACTGGAAAAGTGATTATCATGTGAGTGGTCAGTGCTAATCTCACTGACAAACACATTGCATTTCCTGTGACAATTTCATTTGTGTTTGCAAGTTAAATGCTTTTAATGTGAAGCAGCAGCAGGGGAAAATGTTCAATTTGCATTGGCAGTAACTTAAAGTACCAATGTGTAGGATTTAGTGGTATCTAGCGGTGTAGTTTGCAGATCACTCATTCCCCCCCTCCCCTTCCAACCGAGGGAGAAACTACGATAGCCGCAAAAGGTGCGGAAAAACGTGAACGGCCATATCTAGAGCCAGTGTTTGGTTTGTCCATTCACGGAAAGTGACCCGCTGCATCTGTAGATAAAAAAGGCTCATTCTATGGTAAAGAAAACACAACAATTTTTATATTCAGGTCAGTATACAGTAATGAATACATACTTATGAATACTGCATTTCATTTCTGCCTCCTAAATGTTAGACACTGGACCTTTTAATACAGCAATTTTTCCAGGAAAATCCTCGGGTCACCTAAGGAACCCAGTTTGTAATTCTGCAAGTATAGATACATTGCAGTACTTTAATCAGTGGCCATAGGCTCAGTCACCATTTGTGTTACCTCATTTGGCAATAGAAAGTGGCTTAACAGTTTGTCTAAATAAAAACCTGCAAAAGAAATATATATATACCATCACATTTAGACATTTTGGTTCTTTCTTCTGTTTGTAAATTCCGCTACACCTCTAGCTTGTTTAGCATAATCAGACATGCATGAACTGCACTAAGTTTTTCTGCCATTTTATTATTTGCATGTGAAAGACTGTTGATATGGTACTTTGGACATGGAAGGTAGAGGAACACAGTGTGCTCCCACCCAAATGGACGAACAGAGAGATAGAAGAGGACTCTGTTGAAGACTGCAGAGTTCATGACATCATACCTCAGCAGAAGTCTGACCAATCTGATCATTACAGAGCCCTGCAATAATTGTCCTCTCCCCATTAAAAAGATGCCTTTAGCCTTTTTTAAACAAGCCTTTCTTGGTGTGGTGGATATGAATAATATGTGATTGTGTCACAAAGCCATTTGTAGCAAAAGCAACGGGTAATACAAAGAAATGAATAGGCTCAAGAAGGAAGGATTAGTGCTTTTATGGCCTACTCATGCTGGCTAAGGACACACTATATTAAAGCCTGTGAGTCTAGATACACAATCAACAAGGTTATTTTCGGCAGGCAGACACAAACTCTGGCACACCACACAAAAGAGGTGTTAGAAAAGTATTCATACAGATTGAAAGAGTACACTCTTTGTTTTTCAGAGTAATTTTCATTAAAATATTCTGGGATTGGACTGTTTGTTTCTATTGCATAGTATAATGGATTAGACAGTTTATTTGGTATTTTCATATTTGGAATGTTTGATTGAATTTTACCACAATTTTACCAAAGGTTTTAATGGATTTTGAATCAGAAGACTGTGGCGGGTGGTGTGTTACACAGAACCATTTAGGAAGTTGTCGCTGAAAACACTTTGGAAGAGGGCAGGCACTTAAATACATGGCAGGTCATTGGATGAACCATCTGTCTGTCACTGTCTATCATGGGGAAACATCAATCAATCAGATCAGCGAACCATATAACATAATCAAACTATTACCGATCCAGTCAGTAGGGCAAAAACATATTTTCTATCAAGAAAAGCCTTCAGTGTCGTTCTTTGCTCTTCTTTTAATTAACAAATACTCTCCAGTTCTGATTTAACTGAATTTTGCAGCATCTATGTTAACCTCTTACCAGTCGCTATTGTAGTCTAACACAGGCATTCTTCAATGGACACTGTTTGGTCCTTAACCACTTGTGTTCATAGCTTGATGCCTGGCAAGATTGATTCTTTTGTGATCTCGTGATTTTGTTCTCTATCTGCCTTGGCAATCAAAATCAGCCCCCTGTAAAGCTCAGAGAGCAAATGGGTTCCATTCTTAAGAGAATGAAGGTTCTGAATGAAGTGTAATGTGAATCTGTGTATTAGATGCAGATATTTCTGTGTACAAAGATAGATAGATAGGACTTTTCTCAAGTTTCGCTGCTAAAATAGATTCTCCTACACACTTCACACCCCGTTCTCACGCCCATGTCATCTAACACTGAAACAAATTGTTATCTGCAACTTTACCTCTAGATGCCACAAAATCTTACACACTGGACCTTAAAGTCAGGACCAAAGTAGACTGACCACCTGACAGACCCACATTGCCATTCTTGGAGCTATTTTCAGTGACCCATGAGGATTTTTATATGAACTTAACAGCACAAGGTACTGAAATCATGGTACATATGTAGAATATATTGAGCCGAGAAACATTTAGATTTATTCAAATGTTTAGATGTTTGATAACAAATAAACAAAAAAATGCCTTAAAGGGACAGTGTTTAGGAATTAGGGGCATGCAGTGGTGAGATTGCAAATTGCAACCAATTGAATCCCCTTGACTAAATTGAGTGCGTAGGAGACTCCACAAAACTTGTGTAAAATGTGAAAGGCCCTATTTAGAGCCAGAGTTTGGTTTATCTGTTCTGGGCTAGTGTAGAAACATGGTGGTTCAACATGGCTGACTCTGTAGAAGATGACCCACTCCGTCTGTACATAAAAATGGTTCATTCTAAGGTAACAAAAACACAAGAATTCTCATTTTCAAGTAATTATACACTAATCCTCCTAAATGTTACCCTGTCAATATAGCACTAGCTTATCTAAATAAAACACAGGCATACTTATTGGTCTAAATGATTGGTGCTCTAAAAAGAAGACTGAAAGTGCAATATCAATCAATTATGAAAAAAAAATAGCACCTGACCAGGCAGAGTCCAGGAGTCAATCTTATTCTAAACTTTAGCTAGTGAGTGTAAACACGTGTTCATGTATTCCTCTGTTTTCTAAAGGAGTAAGAGCATTTAGTCAATTGGCACAATTCATTCACTTCACCTCCTGCTCTGCTCTTGCTAAGTTCAAAAGTTAATTCTCTACAAGCTCAGGTGGTGCAGTAATTATCAGAGGCCATTAGAACATGAAACAGAAGTCTTTACTCACTTCTCTGAGCCGGCTGTTCACTCTCACAACACCAAAACAATCAATAGCACCCTCACTGTTATTAGCCAGTTGTGATTATATGTGGGTAATTATATGGTGATATCAAATATTTTGGACCATCCAGTTCATTAAACGTGTTCTGTCTTATCCCATTACCTTCTGTGTATTGGCAGCCTTTAAAGGAGGCCCTGATGTTTTAACAGTATTAATGATCAGACCACTAGTCCTTGGTAACACCGAGGGCTGGCATGTAATGTACTGCCAAGGATGTTTGGGCAGAGTCACAACAAAAGTAATTCCCTCCATTAAGGTCAGGGTGATTAAGCAAGTTGGGACACACAAAGACTAGAAGAAAAATGATTTGAAGAAAAGTATGATTTGAAGAAGAATGGGGATGCATGTGGTGTATTTTTGCCAGAAATCCTTCTTGAAGTTGCTTCTTGACTGAATGCTACTATTAATGTAAAGCTAGTAACAATATGTTCAGGTGTAAGGTCAAAATGTCTGATATTTTTGCTTATATCCTTGTTCTGTTAATTCCTGGATGCAAATATCAAGTGCTACCAATGGAATTTGGAAAGCAAGAGCTTTTAAAATAGCACAAGAGGACTTATGATACTGAAAATATTAGACTACAGAAACACTAGAAAATGACCTTTGTATTATTGTCTGATTGCTAAAAAAAAAACATAAATTAATATGTTTGGCAGGCACTAATGACAACAGTTGTCTGTCAGATTACAGATTACATTTTTGCAGCCATCTCATTTTACTCTGTACTGTCATAGGATTGCATCAAAAAATATGTTAACTTTAAATCTATGCTTTGCACACTATATTTTTACCATTTAAACATGCATTAAATGTATACTACCTTTAATTGTATACCATATCAACATAATTTAAGTCCAAAAAGGCCAGGCTGTATCTTGCAAGCTCAATTTTGGATATACAAATTAAGTCTAGAAACAATGTGATTTGAAGCTTGACTGGAAGTGTGTAACATTTGAGGATCTATTAGCAAAAATCGAATATAATATTCATAGGAATGTATTCATTAGTATATCACCTGAGAATGAAAGTTTTTGTTACCTTAGAATGAGCCATTTTTTTCTACAGATGCCACAGGTCGCCTTCCATGGAGTCCGCCATTTTCAACCGTCATGTTTAGCCCAGAGGGGACAAACCAAACATTGGCTAGAGATAGGGCCATGCACATTTTTTCGAGTTTGACAGCTTGGAAGCAGAGGGTGAAGCGATGAGTTGCAATCTGCAACTACAATGCTAGATGCTACTTAATCCTACACACTAGTCCTTTAAAGAAATAGTTAAACATTTTGAAAAATATAAAATTCAGAATTCATTCATTCTGTTTTTTTACAGAATGAATGCCTAGCAGCAACTGAATGTTGTTGGCACTGCATGGGGAGTTTTGTTTATCCATATATATTTTTTCTAAGAGTGAGATGAGAAGATCAATATCAAACACACGTTTGCGTGTATAGAATAAAAGTGCAAGTATCTAAGGGTTCTATATGTAGACTGTAGCTGAATAAATACATGAATAAATAAGCCTCTACTTTTTTTGTTATGTGTGATAAAACATGAGTTTTACAGTTGTGTTGTGTGAACTGGGCTCAACTGTTGTGTTGTTGCGCCACCTGACCACATTGATGTAAATTGTTGGAACTAAAGTGACCCATTAACAATCAGTCTTCCCTTTGTTCGCTCAGACAGCATCGAAGATTACATCCAGACTGCATCATCCAACGTGGAATCAGCCAATCAGGAGCTTGCAAAGGCCAACCAATACCAGGTACAGTGAACCGCCCCGTGCCACAGTGTGCTCCACGCTTAGCATTCACTTTGTTCAGTTTTCATTTTGTGTAGTTGACTGAGCTTTTGCATTGTAATGCAGTCACAAGAAGCTTAGCTTGATCAGCCATGCAAACAGGGACTTTGCTAACTAGATTACACAGCTTTATCACATCCCCCACTAGCATAATAACACAGATGATGTAATTTCATGTCATACTTTACTAGCTTTTGCCTTCAGTTAAATTAATTGTATTTAGAGACAAAAACATAAAGTGCTTGCCTGGAGTCTTATAAAAACACAAAACCACGTATATAATTCCAATTCCATGAGCAAGTCTTACTTCTATTGAGATAATGGTTATACATTTGCAATTTTATCCAACAAGTGTATTGACTTAGAGAGGAAAATGCATTAATGGGCAACAACTGCAGCCAGAAATTAAATAGAAAATGTTTTTTTTTACTCTCTCTGGTTTTTGGGGTGGCTAGAATTTCCACTTCACAGCACATATTGGAGAGACATTTTATGAGATGCCCAAGGGTCTGCTTTCGCTCTTTCTTTTCAAGGAAATATATGTGTCTTCTGCTATTCTGTCAGGGACTATCTCAGTAGGCCAGAGCTCAAAGTGGCTCTGCTGTGTAGGCCCCTGGCTATGGTAAATAATGTATTGACTCAAGTGTCACTGGGTTAATAAAGGATATACCTTTTTTACATGGGTTACACAGCTTCAGAGCTGCATTTTAACTCAGTACCTGCAACACCTTTTGATAGCCATGAAAATATATATCTAAGCAATATTTAACATTTAGACCATCTGTGATATGTGTCTTTTCAATAAAGAAAGAAAAAGGTAGACGTTCCGTTTTAATCTGATACCAAAATTATATTTTCTTTCAATCATATTTTGGCTACGGAGCCACGGACTTTAATTTTTCTATATTTCATAGATTTTCAACATCACATCAGCAGCTATTCAATATGAAAACAATTGCTAGGCAGTTTTCAGAGTCTGTCACGAATGCAGTGGTTTCTGTCTGTCCCCCCATGCTGCTGCTCTACTAGTGAGCGAACAAATGAGCGACTGGCAACAGCTTTCCCATTAATTGTCATTTCATTATCTCAAGGAGAGCTGAGCCGTGACCGAGCTCACACTGAGCAATTTAGCTCTCCGCCAATCCAGACAGCCGCTGTCTTTACAGAGGCAGAGCAGCTGAATGGAGAAAAAAACAACAAAGAAGAAGAAGACAGACAGACAGACAGACACAAAGTCAGTCAGTCAGACAGACAGACAGCATGATGGACCTGGACAGAGGCCAAATTCTTGACATCTAACCTGATGACTCTTTTCTGTCAAAGTTACAGACTTTACAGCTGCTACATACAGTGCACGTATTTAACAAGTGATACCAAAAACAATGAGATTTCTCATAAGGCAGTATCTGTCATACATCATAAAAATATGTCTTTGTGCATGGCTGCAGTCCATTAAAATCATAAAACCAGTTCCTGTAACTGTATGACTATGCCACATAGACTGTATCTGCTTATTCCAACTCTTTATTAAAACCACAGTGTGTGAAAGGGATTATTGGTAATATTGTATGTTCAACAGACATTTTACCTGCTGTCAGTGCTTTCATACTAACTGACTCTACAATTGCTTACAGTGCATACATTCTCCAGCAGAGTTACACATGAACTGAAAATTCCATAGTTTTCTTCTCTTAGTTATTCACACTGCACTTAAAGCATTCTTAGAACCTCTGTATCCCCAGGGTAAGGGATCTGTTAGCCCCAAGCTAAAGGGCTTTTCACACTGCATATTGTTATGTACTGTTAGCCCTGGGCTAAGAGAGCTTTTCACACTGCACATAGCGCAGGGTTAAAAGCATTCTTAGAACCTTCTTAGCCCCAGACAAAGGGAGCTGTTAGCCCGATTCAATAATATATTATTAATATATAATTAATAATAATATATATATAATTAATATATTAAAGCGATTTCACACTGACACAATCCTGGCACATTCTAACCCAGACTTGTACATAAGGCTTATTGGCCTAGCTCCGGAGCAGGGTTATCTTGAGTTTGCCGAGTAAAAATTGGCTAAATCCTAGGTTAAAAGTGTGAAAAGGGGGTTAAATTATTCCAAGGTCAACTTTTCACACTTGTTGAAAAGCCTATTTGTGGCTTTTAGTACTTCCATTGTTTCCATTGCTGTACTTAAACTGAAACTTCAACTGGTTGCATCTCTTACTCTGACTCAACTGATAGTTAAAGTATTAGCTTCGCTTACACTTATGAAACTGCTATTCTTGGGACAGTACACAATAAAAGTAATTGCACCAGAGTTAGCCAACAGCGAATGTACATATGATGTCTCTGGTCAGTTATACTTCAACTGCTCACATCTTTTCTTTTTTGTGCTTACACTTAAAGTGTAAGCACAAAAGTTGATATTTTCACCTGCTTTCAGCATCTGCACATCAACTGACACTGCAGTAGATTATTCCTCTTCAACTGAGAACTTTCAGCTGCTACACGACAATTGACATTTCAGTTGCTGTCACTGCTTACAGTACACACGTTTGCGTCCACTACAGCAGAAATTTCAAATTCTTTTATCCCTTACTCTTCAACTGACAAATTTCCTTTAGTGGTTATATGTCAACTGATATTTCAGCTATTATATTTTAACTGATATTTGACAGCTTTCAGCTACACTCACTCTTCAGTTGACACATTGAGTTCTTTCACTTTCACTTTACTGCTTTCATTACTATACTTAAACTGAAACATATCTTACTCTTCACCTGACAGTTTTGGAGCTTCCACTTCAACAAAAATTTTATGTGCTTTCATCCCTGTACACTGTAACTGCTTTTACATGTTACACGTCACTTGACATTTCAATTGCTTGTTTGTCAGTGGATGCTAATGTAGCTGAATTTTAGTGTTGAGCGGACAGTTCAATGACTTTGACCGCTAAACTTTAGATTCCCATGCTGTTGCTTTCCATGCTTACACAGCAAAGTGACGCTTGACTGCTTAAAGTAAACACACTTTGACTGAAACTCCAACTGTCGCTTACAACTGCTAATTCATCTATTGTAAGTGATTACACTTCAACTGGCACTTCAGGCCTTAAGTGCTTCAGGTGTAACTGTAACTCATGTTCATAAGCAATTTAACATTAAGACATTTTAACATGTTTTTGTTTTTTGTTTTTTTCCAAAAATCTTATTTGTTATTACCACTAAAGTTTAAATCAAAGTCCTTTGGACATGACCTAAAAAGGCCATTCAGGTAATTGCAGGTGTCGTCTTTCTGTTGGTTTTAACAAACATTTTTTGTTAGTAATGAACATAAACAGTGAACAAATCTTTATAAAAAGCCCTTTAGTGTTGTGTTGTGATCAGAAAGATACAAATGCTGTCACCTCCTGACGAAATGATGCAGACCGAAGGCTGTATATGATTTGAAGTCAGGGCCATTCTGGAACTAAAGTAGGTGTTAGATCCAAGATCTGGATCAGGTTCATTGCAGGTTTCGGTTGTTTGGCTGTTGGATGTGCCCTCAGACCACTAAATCTACTTCAATTGCCACTAGGGGCTGATGTGAACAATTTTACCAGTCAGTGGCTTGTATTTACCCAATATGAAGTGAATGTAGCGTGAAGTTAATGGCACTATTGTGATAGCATAAAAATTCAACACAACCTAGAGGGGAGGGAGGAAGAGCTTAAATGAAACAGACTGAACACTTTGCAGCAAGTCTAAGCACTGATGTAGCCTTGAACACTCCTTGATGCTGCTCTACATGCACCACTGCACATCTCCACCAATGGTCAATTAAGTGCGGATGTCATTTTCTTCTCATGCCCCGCCTTGTCTACTCACTTTACATTGAAAATAAATTGAATCTATAATCCATTATCCAGAGGCAGATTACTCTCCCCGCTGCAAGTTTCCTAGTTGCACTGATGTTTTATCACCTCATCTGTGTTCAGTGGACCGCAATGAACTCTGATTGTTGATTGCTGCACAAGATGGTATATAATTACCAATAAAACACTGATGTTCCAGCAATTCAGTGAACAAAAGCTGTAGCCATTTTACACGTAGAAAAAACTATGAAGTTATTTTTGATTCGATCTGATGTAATTGTTAAGACTTAAAAGTCCATCCATCTTCAGAACTGAAATTGATCTCTGAGTGAGAAACTACATCCTTTTGAGTCTGAAAAAAATCAATGTAACACAGTTTTCCTCTGGCTTAATTGAGGATAATATAGAGTGCCGGCTATTGTGATTGTGAAAGGAACAAAGAGAGAGGGAGGGGAAGGAAAAGAAGACAAAAAAGGAGGATGGCTTGTAAATGAATGGGCAGACGGATGAATGGACTCATCCACATGCAGACACATACAAATTGTTGCCCTTTTGACAAATAAGATAATGAAAAAGAATAACCTAATCACAGTGTTAAAGCTCTGACTGATCACTACACTCAGACCGGGGGATGGGCTAACGCTGACAGATTGCAGGGAAACTGGCCCACTGTTTAATCACTCTTTCCCCAGTCCCTCTGGACTCTTTATGCTACTTTGAAGGATATGGAGTGGAAATAACAATGTTTGAAGTAACCCAGGTTGATGTCAGTGGCACTCTACTGGCTCTACCTTATCAGCCACAGCTGGCCCGAGCATGTTGGAGGATAGAGACAACCTGACTTCAAATAAGACATGGATACATTTCTTAGATGTTTTTTAACAGGGGCGTTGGGTGGACTGTTAACCATCAGCGGCACATCACCCTAGACCTAGTAAGTCCAATGCTGAGATAGACCATTTGAGGTGACTCTACATCATGACATTTCTAAAAAAAACTGTGTTAATGCCCTCTAATCAGAAGAGGGCAGCCCACCTTCCCCAGACTCCGCTTTGAGTGGGAGTCTGTGAAACTGCCACGCTCATTTTCAGATGTATACTGATCGAGACG